GCTTGCTGGATCAACATGGAGAGCTGCAGCCACAACACTCTGGACTTCAGCTCCTGCCCTATCATACTCAGCAGCAGAGAATTGTGCACAGGTCCGGCACAGATCATCACATACCTATCTTGTTGACACTCAGCTGAACACAACTGTGTGTCATAACTGGAACCTTCTATTCAGCTTCCCTCTCCGGCTCCCCATCCTTGCAAATATCACTCCCCGACACATCTGATGATGACATGAGAGTTGGTCAAAATTGTTCATACTGCACCTTACCTACCACTCTACAATGACCTGTTTAATCCACCCAAGGTCTGCCTTCCTTCACAACACTCCTTATGGAGCAACCTCCCTGACCAGGATCTGCTTGCAGAAGCCCTCTGGATCAAGAAACAGGAATCACAGGAACTCACAAATAAGTTCCTTGTGACAAACTCCATTCATCAACCTGCTGGTTTTAAACTATCACGGTGAGAGTGGTCTTTGCTAAACAGGTTCAGGACAGGCCAAAGTCCCTGCGCAGCCAACCTTCACCATTGGGGCCTCAGTGGTAACCCATTGCGCACTTGTGGAAAGATACAAACAATGCCACACATCACCAAGGAGTGTCCCCTCTACAAACTAAGACGTGGATTAATAACTTTGAATCCTCCCCCTCTATGTGACACTGGTCAGGCCGCAGTTGGAGTACTGCGTCCAATTCTGTGCGCTGCACTTCAGGAGGGATGTGGACAACATGGAGAGGGTCCAGAGGAGGGCCACTTGCATGATCAGGGGGCAGCAGGGCAGGTCCTACAAGGAGAGGCTAAGGGACCTTAACCTGTTCAGCCTCCACAAGAGAAGGCTGCAGGGGGATCTAGTGGCCATTTACAAACTAGTCAGAGGGAACCAGCAGGCATTGAGAGAGTCCCTGTTCCCCCAAGCACTCCCAGGAGTGACAAGAAATAACGGTCACAAGCTGGCAGAGGGTAGATTCAGGTGAGCCACCCCCACATCAGCACCTCTGAACCTTTCATGATGCCACATAAGCTACCCCCACATTGGTCCTGGTTGGTCACCACAAAGTGGGGAGCAAACCCAGCTGCATTACAAACCACTGCTATTGCCTTATGTTACTCCACTGCAGAATCCTGACTTTAGACAGAATCCTGACTTTCTGAGAACATGTGATGAAAACAGCAGCAAAGGTCAGTTCCTGAAACAACTTGCTAGCCAAGCTTGCTGGATCAACATGGAGAGCTGCAGCCACAACACTCTGGACTTCAGCTCCTGCCCTATCATACTCAGCAGCAGAGAATTGTGCACAGGTCCGGCACAGATCATCACATACCTATCTTGTTGACACTCAGCTGAACACAACTGTGTGTCATAACTGGAACCTTCTATTCAGCTTCCCTCTCCGGCTCCCCATCCTTGCAAATATCACTCCCCGACACATCTGATGATGACATGAGAGTTGGTCAAAATTGTTCATACTGCACCTTACCTACCACTCTACAATGACCTGTTTAATCCACCCAAGGTCTGCCTTCCTTCACAACACTCCTTATGGAGCAACCTCCCTGACCAGGATCTGCTTGCAGAAGCCCTCTGGATCAAGAAACAGGAATCACAGGAACTCACAAATAAGTTCCTTGTGACAAACTCCATTCATCAACCTGCTGGTTTTAAACTATCACGGTGAGAGTGGTCTTTGCTAAACAGGTTCAGGACAGGCCAAAGTCCCTGCGCAGCCAACCTTCACCATTGGGGCCTCAGTGGTAACCCATTGCGCACTTGTGGAAAGATACAAACAATGCCACACATCACCACGGAGTGTCCCCTCTACAAACTAAGACGTGGATTAATAACTTTGAATCCTCCCCCTCTATGTGACACTGGTCAGGCCGCAGTTGGAGTACTGCGTCCAATTCTGTGCGCTGCACTTCAGGAGGGATGTGGACAACATGGAGAGGGTCCAGAGGAGGGCCACTTGCATGATCAGGGGGCAGCAGGGCAGGTCCTACAAGGAGAGGCTAAGGGACCTTAACCTGTTCAGCCTCCACAAGAGAAGGCTGCAGGGGGATCTAGTGGCCATTTACAAACTAGTCAGAGGGAACCAGCAGGCATTGAGAGAGTCCCTGTTCCCCCAAGCACTCCCAGGAGTGACAAGAAATAACGGTCACAAGCTGGCAGAGGGTAGATTCAGGCTAGACATCAGGAGGCACTACTTCACTGTCAGGGTGGCTAGGATCTGGAACCAACTTCTAAGAGAGGTGGTGCTGGCTCCTACCCTGGGGGTCTTTAAAAGGAGGCTGGATGAACACCTTGATGAGGTTGTTTGACCCTAGTACTTTTTCCTGCCATGGCAGGGGGTTGGACTTGATGATTGGCTCAGGTCCCTTCCAACCCTACCAACTATGAAACTCAGTTAATGAGGAGGCTATTGCTTGGCGTTGCAAATTTGCATTCGCTAAATAAAATAAAATACTCTGCTGCAGAGTATGCATGTCCAGTATCAGTTCATCCCAAGAGACTAGACCCAGTTCTAAATGACAGCTGTCTTGAAATTACAGGAGGTCTAAAGCCAACAGTAAAGGATAGCCCATACTTACTGGCTGGCATTGCACCACCTGATATCAGAAGAAAGGTAGCAAGCCAAAAAGAAAAATCACAGCAGATGGAAGACCCCAGGCATCAACTCTGTAGTCACAAAGAAGTAACTGGTTTAAAACATGAAAGAGTTTTGTGACCAATGTTGCACCATTGGACTGAGGTTATGGAAGGAAAGATTATGCACAATCAGATGCTCCGAAATGGACCTGGAACCCCAGGACCTTCCCAGAGGGGCTGAACTGGACTGGCCAACATGGCGATGCCTGAATTTTCTGTGCAGGTCAACTGGAAGATCAAAAACAAACATGATCAAATGGGGCTAATCTAACATATATGTTGTAAGTGCTGTGAAGTGCACACTATGGGGCATCTGCTTGTTTGCCAGCTCCTTGGCGAGACCCGTGTGGAGGGCCTTGCTGCAGCAATGCAAGAGCCATCACTTGTGCACAATACTTTATAACAGACAAGGTTCTCTGGATGAATCTGATATCTTTTATTAGATCAACTTAAATAGTTGGAGAACAATTTTTAAGCAAGCTTTCGGGTTCAAAAACCCTTCGTCAGGCTGAGGAAGTTTCAGCAGTTGGTGTGTGCTCTTCCTGGATGGAATGAAAAGTAAAAAAGCCAGGGGCTGGGCTGGTATGCATACAAGATAGGCAGTCAGTGAAGATAGAGATTGAGGAGTCAATGGGTGAGAGATGTGCTGGGTGGGGGGGGAGAGAGAAGGGGGATGGATAGTGAAGTACCTGGGGAGTCAGATGTCAGGCAGGTTATAATGTGTCATAAATCCAATGTCTATATTTAGTCCATGATTTTTAGTGTCCAGGAGGTTGATGAAGTGGAGTTCATAGGCTTGTCTCTGAGAAGTGTTTTGCAAGTTTCCTTTGAGGATCAGGACTGAGAGACTGGAGAGAGAGTGGTTTTCTTGTGAGAAATGTGCCCCCACAGCTAACTCAGTATTCTTGTCTTTGATAGATTCCCAGTGTGCGTTCATTCTGGTGCACAGTTGTTGTCTAGTCTCTCCTACATATTTTCCATCTGGGCATTTGGTACATTAGATGAGGTATACTACATTTCTGGAGGTGCAGCTGAAAGATCTGGGAATGCTGATGGCTCTGTTGTGGGGTGTAGTAATAGTGGGGGTGGTAGAGGTGTGTTGGCAGGTTTTGCATTTCTTGTCATGGCACGGTCTGGATCCATTTGGTGTGTTCTGGGTCCGAGGAAGTTTGCTTCTGGTGATGAGGTTGGGAGGTTTGGTGCTTGTTTGAAGGCTAGGATGGGTGGCTCTGGGAAGATCTCTTTAAGAATAGGGTCTCTTTCTAGTATGGGTTGTAAATGTTTGAGGATTTTCCATACAGGTTCGAGGGAGGGGTGATACGTCATAACCAGTGGTGTGCGATTTGTCAGGGTTTATAACAAGGTCACGAGAAGACCTTGGCAGGGTCACACTGTTTTTGCTGTCCTCCAGGCTGCGCCACGGGTCCCCAAATCCATCGTCTGCCCCAGGCACTTTTTTCTTGAAACTTTGTCTGGGGCCAGATCAGTTCCCAGTTTGATGGACTGAGCAGAGCTCAATTGTTCATGTCCATGGCGCTACCACCAGCGAGCGCCCTCCCTCCCAGACCTTCAGCCTGGGGCTTCAGACACCCCCACATCCATGGCAGGCATCCTGCGTGCAAGCCCCAGGCCTGGAGGCCTTGGGGCTCAGATGCTCCCGAGTCTCACCTGCCCCGAGCCAAAGGAGCAAGCGAGAGGGAGTATGGGGGCGGGGTCAACCCCCCAGATCAGGGCTGGCTCCCAACCCCTGCCCCCGAGCAAAGCTGCCCCGTGTCCCAGCTGCCACCCCGCTCCTCCCGCCTCAGGCTGTGGGAGCCCCCCCAGCCACTGCTGCCCTGGCTGCAGTGACCGCCTCCCCATATGCTGCCAGGTCTTAAATATGAAATGATCATATTGGAAACTCGAACTTGTGGTATTTGCTGAAAGACTTGCTCACTGAAAATATATGTAAATAAGCACGCAAATAAGTGTACAGACGTCTTCTTCTTAACTGCCCACGGCTCACCGCAACGCGGCAGCGGGTCACCATCCGCACAGCTGAAGCCTTTCTTTTATTTCGAGACACGCGGCAAGCCCCCAAAGTCAGGTAACGCTTCCTGAGGCGACTTGGGCTTTGCACATGCCGCATCGAGGAGCCGCCTCACGAACGACCGCACATTGCGAGCATCGACGAGCCCGCACACAGCCCGCACGAGCGCAGCGGCTCCCGCGCAGCCCCGGAGCATTCCAACTGCACCCCACAGCTCGCCTGGCTCAGCATGACGTCGAACGCGCCTCCCCCCGCCCTTGGGAACGAGAATGGTGCGTCCTAGTCACGTGGCTTTGTTGTGACGGCTCCTGCCCGCCCCCAGCAGCTAACCGCGTCCCGACCCCCGCGCCAGGCTCGGGCCGCCACTGAGTCGCCTGCGTCCGCGCACTGCTGCCCCGGCGCCGCCACGTGCGGGGGGCGGGATGGAGACCAAGGGCGGCCACGCCCCCGCAGGTGGGAGGGGCCGGGGGCGGGGCCGTTGGAGTCCCCGGCGGTTCGTGAGGCCCCGGGGGGGTGGGTTGCGCGTGTCCGCGGGGCGGGGCCGCTCGTCACCAACGGCCTTTTCCAAAGGCTTCGCCGCCCCCCCGCCCGTTACCTCAGCCCCGGTGATCGGTGCTTCTGTCCCCAGCGCCACCTCTGTCCCCCGTGGCGGCCCAGGCCCTGGCTGTGTGGCGGGTCCCCCTGCCTGAGGCGGCGTCTCCCTGTGGGCGGAGGCGGCAGTTCGGGTCCCCACACCTGACCCAGCCGCCGGGGCCGGACTCGGGTTGGATAGGACTCTCGCTGTGTCTAGGTCCTGCCCGCTCGAAGGCCTGCGGCGCGGCCGCGGGGTCGTGGCCGACGGGAAGCGAAGGCTGTGGCACGCTGGCGCCGTGACTCCCAGCCAGGGCCCCGTGGCTGTGGGGACGCCTCGAGATCCTTTCACGCCACGCTGTTAGATGCACAGGACGTGATTCATGAGATAGACCCAGAAATCTCAAATCGCAGCCCATAGTGCTAAAAACATCCCACTCTGTTGTGGGCTGAGTTGTTTGCAACAGAAAAGAATTGCTCTATTATTTTTTCTGTAGTCAAAAAACCAAGCTAAAACTAAGAGTTGGCATTTTCTGAGGTGTCTTTAATCTAAAAAGGTTGAGAACCGCAGTGCGTGAATAGTTCAGACTCTGCCTAGGGACATGGGAGGTGTGATCCAGGGTGTGGCTCTGTCCCAGGCCGCCTGTGTGTATTTGTCCAGATGGAAGTGAGGATGATGGTCCCTCCTTTCCCTTGCCCTTGTCTCTGGTCTGTTTGGACCACAGGGGCTCTGAGGCAGGTGCTGTCTTTGCTTACTGTGTTCAGTGCCCAGCACACTGGGAGCCACCGGATCAGATGCACAGCTGAAATTCAAATAGAAGTAAGAGCCTGAGCCTTTGCTGCATGAGCTCAGCAATTTTACTGACCAGCAGTGAGAAGTGTTATGTGCGGCATGATAAGTTACACAAGTAGTAGGGTTGCCCGGACGGCTGAAATGCTTTTCAAAGAATCAGTATAGCTGGTTTAATCTGTCTTCTCACTTGTTTTCTTGCTGGAAATCTTCCCTTTCTTGCAAGTATATCCTGATTTATTGTTGTCAAATCACTTGAGCATTGGTAGTTTCTAGAAGGAAGAAGGCAAGGTGGATTTGCACCTTGTAGACTAACTAAATCAGACAGGTAAGCTTTTGTAAGCAATGAATTACTTCATCAGATGCGATGAAGGGACTGCAGAAGGCAGAGCTTTGAAACAAGGCAGTGATTTGAATACAAATGGCCTTGTTATGTGGTAATTTTGGGCCGCTCCTAGAGCTCTTTACCCTTGGATTGTCTGCACATTAACATCTGAAACTGGTTTTAAGCACTGGTTATGTGGATCAAAATTAATTCTCCAAGGCAGGATTATCTCAGATCCATGCTTGTGTTGAACTAAGTTGCAGCTATACTAGGCTACACCGTCTCGTAAACACCCAACCACTCTCCCTTTTTCCTGCTGTCCTGGATCAGGCCCACTGCCTGCTCTCAGCACCCCAGATCCCTGCTCACTGCTCATCACCCCATCCTACCCCATCCCCTATTTGCTTGTGGCTGCCTGCACTGTTTGTCCCCCGTGAAGCAGGCAGGGAAGAGTTAAACTACCTGTCCAGTGATGACTGTTGCTGCTGCCTGGGCCAGAGCAGCAGCAGCCCTGCAACAGTGTTGTGGGGAGGGGGGAAGAAAACAAGTTAACCCTTCCCTGCCTGTTCCCTTGAGATGGACAGTGCCAGCAGCCACAAGTAAGTACTGTAATGGGGGATGGGGATTTCTTGCCTTTAAGTCCTCCAAGCCCTTCCTGGCCTGATTGTGTGACTGCCTCTAGCTAGCACTAACACCAATCAACATTTGCTCACAGTGTCATGAGGCCCTTAAGGATAGAGAAGGGGGGAAACAAGGAGTGGGCGCTGCTGAGAGATAAAGGTGGGTAGAAAGAAGAGAGGGAAAAAAACAAAGCAATTAACCCATTGAGGGGTTATGAAAGCTAATCCAGGTAATGGGTTATGAATCCATAGTCTTGGTTTAGACCTGTGGGCCATATCCAGCCCACCAGTTGATTCCATCTGGACTGCGGCATCAACAGAGGCTGAAGCAGCAGGGGATGCTGGGCAATAGCAGCCCTGCCCACCCGGCACTGTACGGCAGCCTGGTAGATGAAGTCCAACCCCACAGCGCTGGGCAGGTGTGGCTGCTTTGACCCAGCAGCCCCCCCCCAAGAGTCCCACCCACCCAGCTGGCACTACTCAGCAGGGGAGGTGGGTGTTGCAGGGGTGAGGGAACTGAGCCCCTTGTCCTGCCCCCCAGCCAGGGTCTGTCCCAGTGGGTTGGGGGAGAGGTTTCAAGAGGTGGGGGTATTCCCCCCTCCCCATGTAGTCCTGCTCCATAGGAATGCAAATGCCACAGTTCCATGCCCAGTACAGTATTCCTGCTTGCTGGTGTCAGGCAAGCTGGGCAGCGGGCAGTGTGGGATGTTGGGGTAGGGGGTGGGGGGTGAGGAGGAGCAGAGATAAGAAGCTATGGCCCCAGATGGAGTCATGCATATTTAACACAGTTCAGTCTGTGGATGAATTCTTATTCTGCAGTTTCCCATTCAAGCTGTATTTTAATGTTTTGTTGTCTAAGAACAGTTACTTTGAGGTCAATAATGGAATATCCTGGGATGTTTAAGTGTCCTGCCACAGACTTTTCTGTCCTTCTGGAACTGATGTCAAATGTATGTTCATTCATTCTTTCACATAGGGATCACTCAGTCTGTCCAATGTAGACAACAGAGGGGCACTGTATGCAAGTTATGGCATATGTGATTCTGGTTGAGGAACAAACGAATCAACCTCTGAATCTGTGTTAAAATAAAAATTCTGTGTTGTTTGATCCAGCGATAATGTGGTCTGTGTTGATATGGGGGACACAGCTGGCATCTGAGTCCCGAGTAAGGTCTGGGGCCTTGGTGAGAATAGGAGTTAGGTAGTTTGTTGCTGGAAAGACTCGTCCCTTACAGCTACCTTGAGTTGGTCATCATTTTCCATGGGGGAATTGGAGGTCATTAATGATGTGTCCCAGGTGTTCAAGCTGGGGTCTGTAGCTGACAACCAAAGGGGTTACATTGTCCTTGTCATGAGGTTGGTATTGTAGCAGGTTGAAGTGGGGTCTGAGTCTGGCTCTGTTAATTTGAGTGGCTACAGTTTTAGGAAATGTAGGAAACAGAAGCATAGGAATGCTTGCGTCAGATCCTTAAGGTCTACATCCCAGTCAGTGGGATCAGAGCAGATATGGATGTGACTTAGAGCTTGGCTGTAGATGATGGATTTAACCTATAGGGAATTTGCAGGCTTGTTTAAGTTAGTAGAATTTGAGGTTAATATTCCAAAACTGAGCCCAAATCCATTACCTTCCTTGGAAGTGGCTCTATAAAGCAAATATGGTTTCTCTTTAATTCTATTGTTTATTGAAAATAGGACCAAATTCGTTGTTTCTCTGTGCTGGTAGTGCTGTCTTCTTGGGTTACATGGAAGGGGTACACTGATTTTAGTAGGCTTCATCCTAGATCTACTAATTGCCTGAGATGCAGAGGTCAAGCTGTTACAAGAGGATACTACTGATCAGGTATTAACTGAATCTCAAGCTCTCTGGTAAAATTCAGCATTGGTGTTCTTGTAATTGTGGTTTTGAAAGCTCTTTGAAAGCCTCATCACTAGGTAGAAAGCTTAGGCATCCTGCAGTCCTATAACACTGATGTGGATTATTCTTGTAATTAATAGACAAGCATGTGAATCTTTTTCATCCTGCTGCTTCTTTGTCTGTCTGATAGGGATTTCAAACTCTTTATTATTTTATATTTCATTTGCATCTACAGGCTCTAACATGCTAGACACTGTACAAACACACAATCTCTTTCTCAAAGAGTTTTACTATCTAGACTCTCAATGCATGAGAAGAAAGAAGTATTAATATCCTTGATGTATAGGTAAGGATTGAAGTCCAGGGGTATTAAGGAATTTACCATAGGTCACACAATGAGGTTTTGTCAGAGCTGCAAATTAAATCCAGACCTCCTGAGTCCCAATCTAGTGTCTCAACACTAAGAGCAGCCTTTCTTTTAACTTTTTATTTCTTTAGATCACGAAGTGAAGAAACTATTGTGGCTTCTTGAGATGCAGGGATAGCCTACTGGTTCATAAATCCACCTGAAAACAGGCAAGATCCTTGCCTGGGATGCTGAGAAACAAGTGGCCTTGTGAGAGTTGTGCACAGGGTTAACATTATTTAGTAAAAGCGTCCATGTAGCGGATTATGGGAAATTCCATGCTTCTATACAGCTTCTCCTCTTGTCTCAGAGCACTAGTGAAATGTTTCCCAGCCTTGACTGCCTCTTTCTTACAGAGCAGACACTAGCCAATATATTCAAAAGCACCAAAATTACTTGAAAACTGAAGTCCTGAAAACCTGTACACTTTGTTCCTTAATGTAGGCATGAAAAGCTAGTAGTTTGAGCAGAGAGCTTCACCAAACCAAACACTGCTTCTGTTTGGAAAGGCTTCTGGAAAGAATTGGCACCATGTCCCTTCTCCCTGCCCTGCACTGACTGCACGTGCCTATTAAAACTGGAAACTAAATGCCTTTACATATTGACTTTCTAGTGAAAGCTGGAGGGATGCGCATTGTCCAGAAGCATCACAGCAGTGGAGAGCATCTGAGCCAAGAGAGAGACAAAGATGCCAAAGACTGGGAATGTGACAGGTAAGGGGCAGAATGGCCTTTCTCTTCGGTCTTTTGTAGCAACTGCTCTTTCGAACAAGATCAGAAGTTCAGTTAGGACTGTCTTGGAGGCTTATTTTTTCTAAAACGGAAAACTTCAGGAGCCAGTTAGGGACTTCTTTCAACTTCAGCAGAGACAAAGAATGCATCAGAGACCAACTGGGTCTTTGAATCCTTAGTGCCATCTGGAGTCCTACAGTTGTAGTTTGTCTTGTAATAGCAATGCCTATCCTAGTCTAGACAGTCCGACCAACTTCATTGCACTTTATAAACCTTCCCTAACACTTAGCAGATGGTGACAGGCCATGTGCTCAATGCATGATTCTGCCATACCAACACACCAAGAGGACCCTCCTCCACATGGTTCCCATCTTTCATTTAAATCACATCCTCCCCAAGATGCCTCCTAATCTTCATAGTTTGTCAAAAACACTCAAGAGTTCCTGCTCTGGAGGAGTGTGAGTATCGTATGGCAAAACCAAGTTTGGAATGGTCCCACTGTCTGTGGAGCAGATTGGTGTTTCCTTTGACACAAAGCACTGTCCATATGAGGAGGTTTGCACACAGTAAACAAGGGCATGAACATTCTGTCTACCAGATTCAACATTTGCTCCCCGCATAGACCCTATGACCGTGCACTAGTTTACTCTGCTTTGCAAGTGGAGTAAACTGCCTTGTGCTTAGTGCCTATGAAGAATGTCTGCTCAAGGAGTTAGTGTGCAGTAAATTCACCGCTTAGTTTACTATGCATTAACTTCCCTCTGTATAAACAAGCCCTAATATGGAGAAGAGACTTGAGGAGGCTTCAGGTTCTGACATGATTGGCAGAGGCTCTACCTGGCACAGGATAGAGCATTGTTTTATAGTTTCTGCAGGCTGCAGGGATGAAACATTGTTTCATAGTCACTTGCTGACTTTAAATGAAGGCGTGGATTGTGCTTTCTCTGTGCCTTACTCAAATAAGCATAGAGCAAGGTCTGGTAAGGTTTGGGGGAGGAGAGTATTTTATTTCCTGAGATTATTTACATTTTGGGTTGTAATTTCCCCTGTGCGTGAGATGACTGGTTTTGTGGAGTCTGTACTATACAGGTGTGATGATGTGTGTCTGTCTGTTGAGTGACCCTTCAGGATGTCACACCATTAACCTTCTCCAAAGAGGTGTCTTTTCCTGTCTCAAAAATTTGTTGTGTTCGTATTTGGTTTTGGCAATGGGCCATGAAGCCATATCTCAAACCCTTCTAAATACTCAGAGGTGCAATGAAGTACATTTTAGAAGGCCCAGTGGGTAATAGCTGTTAAGATTTCACTTGACTTTTAGGGATCTCTACGTGTTTCTGTCTCCGAGGAAAAACAGATCTGGCAGGAGTTATTCCAGTTAATTGTTAACTTGAGTCCTGCCTGAAAAAGAGGCACTTGACACTGGATTGAATATACATCTATACTTTTAAATGTAGTGATACAGGTGACTGCCAGCAGTAATGTCTGTAAAATTCTTTAGTGCAAGGAGGACAAGACTTTCTTACTGAGTTAACTCAGCATAAAAATCATCTTGATGGTAAACGTTAGCATTCAGTATTCTCTCAGTGAATTAACCTCTCACCCTTTAATCCAGATAGAAAAAAAATTAAAAAGTTGAATGAATATATATTCTGCCCAGCAACCTATCTTATGTTTGAAGTTACTTGTCTGGTTGGAAAATTAGTTGGCTTTTATTTTAATTACTTACTTTCCAAACTCTCAACAGATACTTTAGACATGAGTGGGAGCATAAGGTGTATGCATAGAAATGCTCAAAATGAGTTACCAAGCTTGCAGTAAGTCAGTTTTGCTGCAAACTCCCTTCTCTTATAGCATTCAAGTTCTATATAGCAGCAAGCATTTACATCCCTGTAGCCCTCTCTTGGATTGGAAGTCCCCTTTAGAATGACCTAGGCCCTAGCAGTTCCCCTGCAGTGAACCCTTTTATAAAAAATGCCATCTCCAACAATAAGTTGTCTGCTCACTCTGGGACTCGTATAAAACAATGCTGCCCTTTCAGGAGAAATTGTATTTGTTACCCAGGTTGTCTTCTCTCTTTTCTTCAGTAAATTCAGCAAAAAAACCATTTTTTTACATGAGTCAGGAAAACTCACTGGGATTAAGCTGCTTTGAGCAGAGGTGTGGGTTTTTAATGTTTATTTTGTGTCCCAAGTCTCATCTTGCTTTTGTCTTGATTATCTTATGACTTTTCATCTTGGCGGTCAGGCTGAAGTGGCTTCTGCTGCGTTAGGATAGGTTAGTAACCACAGGAACAGGAGGAGCAGTTGGTCAACTTGTGTGAGAAGATGAGCATAAGCTTTTGTAAGTGGAGAAGTGACAAAGTCTGATTCTTTAACCCTATTGCATGTACCTACATTATGCTACTGCTTTGTTGCTGTAAGCACCCATGTAGGTGGCAGCACAGCGGGGGTGACTTTTTCGAAACATATTTTTACTTTCTGGGATGTGTGAGAAACATTTCTTGACAATACGGTTGGCACAAATATTTTTTTGAAAGGTTTTGCAGGGTGGAGTGTGCACTGTAAGCAATATCCTTTCAGGTAATAATAGGAGATGAGGTAGTAAAGAATGAATGCGGTTTTTTTGTTTTTATTCATTTAACCTCATCAAAAAGCTACTGACTGAAGGCATCTCTTCTGTGCAAACAGGAGAGGTACTGTCAAAGGTCACCCTCATGGAGCAGGGAGTTTTTGGTGTGCAGCAAACAAGTTTTATGGGGAAATTATGATATTGAATTCTTTTGTTGGTTAACTCATGAAGTATGGAATCAGCCCTTTTCATTTCCTGAATACAAGAATCTATTTGAAGGTAAAGGGTATAGAGAAGGGGTTGACAACATGTGGCCAGCGGGCCACATCTGCTCATGCAGCCTGGGGGTTTTAGCAGTGTTCCAGCAGCAGGGGACTTTACCTATACCACAGCCAGTGAATGTGGGGGTTTGCTGGTGCCATGGCAGCAAGAAGCAGAAGCACTGGCCTGCCTCAAACCTGAACCAGATTGTTCAAGCCTGCTGCTACAGAACCTTGCCAACTGCTGGCCTAGTGTATTACCGCCCCTGCTATTTGAATGTATTGGGAAAATACTGCAATCCATTAATTGGAGAGCATTGTAACTTAAGTATTAAAGATAGTGACTGCAGCTGAAGTTAAAATCTTGTTGGTCTCTGATAAATGTGATGATAATTTAATTTCTCTTCTGCATGCTTGATAAGAAATGCAACTGCAGATATCACAAAGTCTGTGTGAGATTTTAACAGCTGGTTCCTGAAATAAGCATATTTGTTAATTGGCTATCAACTGTTGGAATCTGTAACATGGGAATTGCTACCCTATCAGTAGTCTGTCTAGTCTGGCATCTCGTCTCAGAGGGTGGACTTTCGGGAAGGTGCTAGAAATTCTTTAATGGGCAGTAAAGGAATAGTCTACCCATAAAAGTTTCTTCTTTTTTGTTGACAATAATCACCTTTATGCTCTACAGCATGAGGGCTTCCTTGCTGAGTATGTTTTAAAATATTTTCTGATGTACGTTTGAATGTTCCAATCTGTATGAAAACATCTAGTTCTTTAAGTCCTACAATGAAGTCTTGGCTTAAGTGACACTGACACTGGGCATGTCTACATATGCAGTTAATGAGAATGAATAAACGCTGGCACAGTTTGTGTTGGAGTTTGTTGCTCCTGGACATGCCATTTGCACATGCATCCAGGACTGCAGCACATTGAGCTGGGGCAGTGCAGCTGTGGCTGGCAGAGGGTCCTGGGGGTCAGCCTGCCAGCCTGGGACTGCTGTGACCTGGCTCTCAGCATGCTGTGGAGGGGCTGGATGCAGCATGAGGGTGCTTGGGTGTGGGGCTAGCTGGTAGGCAGCCCCCACACTGAAGCACCCTCATGCTCCAGTTAGCCCTGTCAGCATCCACACATGTATGGCAGCACACTAAATAATGTCGCTGCAAGATAGTACTTGCGTTGCCAATTACTGTCCTACAACAGTGTTTATTAGTTTACTGTGCCCTAATAGGGACTCATGTAGATGCTGAGACTTTACTGCAGAGCTAATTAGGTAACTGCACCCACAGAGTCCCACTGAATAATTTTAGGGACTCCCCCTCCCCCAGCAGATTTCTTTTGATAAATTTTAAATCTGACATTTGAAGTTTGCTAAGTGGCTCTTGTATAACTCTGTTGCTTCCTGTTTTGATCATCTCTTCCCAGTTTCTCCACTCTTTTTATATGGAAGTATCTTCAGACTGTGTTACTTGTCTCTTAATCCCTTTAACTTCTTTCCTGAGATAGAATGGCCAGAGCAGAAAATGCAATCCCAGAGGAGGGTGTCCTGTTGCTTGGCCTTCATCGTAAAAATTGTTGCTGCTTGTCATCCCATTCTACCTGTAGAAACTGGAATGATAAGCCCTTGTTTCAAATAATGCTGGGAGAAGCATTTGACTTAACAAGATATTTGTTTGTATATATAGAAATTTGGGGGAACATTCAAAGCAGCATGAACATTCAAAGCTGCGTGAGGCTGCCCAAGTACAAGTTGCAGAACTGATATCCCACATGATGCTCAAGAAAACCTCATTGTTCTCTATATTTGCTCAGGGAGTAAAAATCCTTACATCATAGAGGACAATTTTACAATAAAGCTCCATTGACACACAAGAGCTTTAGATTTCTAGCTGTTCATTCCCCCCGGAGTTCTCTTGTTCAGTAGTCACCAACAGAAACTATATTTTGATAGCTGTATGAGTCTGCTTTCAGGTGAAGAAGCTTGACGAAACAAATGAACTCTTAAAAACAATGATTCTTTTTTCCTGGAGGTTTTGTATTAGTGAGAGAAAATAATAAAAAACCAGAATTGGTTGAAATTTTCAAAGCTGTGTAGTGATTCTGGGCTCACCATTTATCAGAAGGTGTGTAAGGGCTTTTCTTCATGGGGACACTCAA